TTCTGCATCAACAGATTTCGATAAAATTTTCAACATGTATATAACTTACATAAATCTACAGTACGTATAGTTTAAATTTTCATTACAGGCTCTGATAAAAAAGTTGTACAAATTCTAGTACTTTTTCATCTAGTAAACTAATCCTTTTAATTTGTGAAAAAAGCTCAAGTTTTCTAGTCCTATCGAGTCTCACACACGCCGGATAACGTTATTTTGAACTTTTGTTATTATTTTTTACCAAAGCATTTTTGAGCCTACGTTTGTATGATATTTTTTTCTCATTTTCACGCGTAGAATACACTGGCAAGGTATTATTATACATTCCTCCCAAATTATTTATTATTTACGATAAAAATTTTTTTAATTACTTGAATGAATTTTGTTGAATAATAATTGAAAAACAAACAAAAATGTTTTTGAAATGTTGAAAAACATAAATAAGATCGTTAAATGTTGCATTTCTGTCAAATATTAATAACCAAATACGTCTACCTTTTCAACGTTGTAATATTAAGCGTTTAATGTTAATCCTGTATTTACTGTTTTTTTTCGCTTTTCTGTTATTCGTCATACGAATAAATTTTGGTTGCAATCGTAATAAGTTTACGAACTGACAACGACAAGCAGAAATTAAAAACAGTAATGTGACGATCGATACGAAGAGTAGGGATATATAACAAAAGGCAACCCTCCTGACAAAGAAACAACTTTCAGGTAGAGATAAAACGATACAACCAATTTAAATGTCCATTCGGCAAGCTTCAGTAACGATCGGTAACTTGCGTGAAAATTCGCTACGAATCTCCACTCATATTAACTTCCCTATGGTGAGATCTGGTAATCGGCAATGTCGAGCCAATAGTTGCAAAATTGTTTAGACTTGAGAATATATCAAATATCTCCGTAAGTTACTTGTAACATATCTATTTGTAATAAATGCTTGTGTAACTTATTTATGAAATATACCTTTGTGATATATTTGGAATATGTCACTTACGAAGCCATAATTACATTATATTTCTTATCTCCTAACTTTTTAATTCTATAAGTTTGATTTAAATAATTTGGAAACCATTATTGGTAATATATAGATGGAGAGTAATTAACAGAGGCATTGTTAATTACTAGAGAGTAAAGCGAAATAAAGAGACACGTCGAGTTTAGTCATTTCAAATATCCCGCTTGTCTATAGTCATTGTAACAACCAATTAGGGATAACAGTGTCGCCTCTTGTCGTATCCCCACTCTTTGCTAGGAGAGGGGAGAGAACAGCCTTTCGAAAAATTGCTCACGAGGCAATCCTGTGCTAATCTCAGCTAAATGGGCGTTGAACCTGACTTTGATGGAAATGGTTGCATATATTTGTACAGAATGGATTTTTCAAACGGAGAAACAGTTCCGTATAAATAGAATAAATGGAAGCAGATGCTTCCGGGTTGGTCTAACTTGCCGATGAATTGGCTTTAAGTATTCGCAAAGGTCTCGATTGGCGTCAAGCGTTGATGTCAAATACTGGCATCAATTGCTGAGACTTGGAGAGGATCCCTCGCAGTAATCGGAAGAGGCCACATTCGATGATACCCGAAATCACTTCAGCTCCATTGCAGAAGAATGGATTCCTGGGAGAGAGCCGGGAACTCTCGCGGAGATGCTGAGCTAATTAGCAATTTTGAAGATTTTAGATCAGGAGGATGACTCCTGGGTGGGGCGAATGTGACCACCGTAACAATTTTGATTCTTCGAGTCGGAGTCAGAAGCCAAAATGCCATCAGTCAGATTAAAAGCAAAAGGACCAAACTTCAGTCGGTTTGGTAAATTTCACCACGTTGTAAAGTTCAGCCAATCTCATCTTGGAGACACAATTAGTATAACGTTCCCAATACGTCGTAATTAGGTGGTCCTTCGGGCATAGACGGCACGGATCGTGTATTATTCAAGGTCAGAATAAATTGCTTAACGACTGTCGGGCGGAGCTCTCTTCTGACGCCATTAGTATACATTAAAACTTAAGCTGATTTCAATAAAAATGCATAAAATGTTCAACTAACGGTACCTATCCTTATACAAATTTTCTATTGCAATATTTACAAATAGTATTTATTATTCAACTTTTGAGGCTACCTCTCCCGTAATTATTCTACTGTCCAATAGTGGCACTAAACGTATTGACTGCTTTAAAAGTCTAATTATGTGCTGTAGTGGTAAAAATATATTTATTTTGATCATTGTTAATAACAACGATGAAATTGAATTCTAATCACTATTCTTTTTAATTATTGTAATTTCTTTCTAGATGTCATTCGAGTAATAAAATTAAACTTGGACTTCTTTTATAAGATATGCATATACATTTCCATACACTACCCGGTACATCTGTCGTTTTCTTCTGAAAATTAATCTGACAGTAATCGATGCAATTGTGTAACGCGAAATTTTAATTTGTTCCATACAGCTACTCTCGTTTCTTTCGTACGTCTGCGTGGAGTTTATTTTCAAACGATCAGTGCTTTCTGTTAAATTGCAAATACGATTTGAGATTTACAGGTACGAGCTGGCAATGTGTGATTTTGAATATACTGTAGAAAAATCAGCAATCAGTTATTCGAAGAAAATAAAACTCACTCACATAAGCAAAGATGCAGAACTGCGGTGAAGAGGGCTGCGAGTTTCCGTGCTGCCATGAGAATTAACCACTTTTGCGATGACAGTTTGGCACACTACTTGATGATCTGAAAGTAGACAAAACTCGATTTGTTTTTGTTTTATTTATTTTGTCGTATAGAAAAATTTATATATTTTATATGTCGCATACTTGAACAGCAAAACGACGAAATGGAACTTTATTATAGATACAAGATTATTATAGACCTTTTCTTATAATGTGAGTAAATAAGAATTAAACGCGATACCTGTAAAAGAGTATCAATAAAACAAAGGTAAGCTACCAGTATTACTTTTGACTAAAAATGCCTAACAACTTAAAAATCGTGTGCAATTTGTTTCTTATAAGAAGAAAATATTTAGCAATTGTGAAAAACATTTTAGTTAAATATATTAATGAAAGATTTATCAAATATGTTTGTATATAGATGTACCTATTGTGGTCTGTTATACAGACTGGAAAGATAGAGAGGGAGCACATGGCTAAAATAAAATCCTTCTTCCCTTATGGCTCAACGAATCAATCAATCTTAACGTGTGACGTCTCGTTTGATAGATATTTTTAATGCCTACAATTCTCATTCTAAAATTTTTACGACCCGATTATTAGAATCGTTGTCATATGCAAAAATATCTGTTTTCCACAAATTTGGAGATTATTTGCAGAGACCGTGCAAGAAATTTCGAGTGGTAAATATATAGGATTTGTGATTTTTATAAGTACGCGCAAAAAAATTTCAGGTATCATCTCTTTTTTTTTTTACTCTCAATTTGCGCTTTACAATCTGTCCATCTGGATATTTGGTAAATTTTTCCAGTTTTACTACTAAATAATGTTCAGTTTGTCTATTTTATTTCTTCAGCGAGATCGGTGGCATGTTTTCTTCTTTGTTCGTTTCAGCAGCCTTCTTTCTTTGCATTTTTTTGTGGATCCACCGATTTCTTCCTTGACTATTGATATTTTTAAGTCATTGCGTAAGTCCTCGTTTCTGACATACCATGGGGTGTTAACTATCGTTCTGAATATCTTTTTATTTTTATTTATGTGGCTTATTGCTGCTGCCCTCCACACTGGTATTCTGCACGTCCAAATTGGTTTTATTATCGTTTTGTAAATTTTTAATTTATTTTCTACGCTGAGTTTAGAATTCCGACTAGTTAGCCAGTACATCTTCTTTTTTTCCGTATTTCATCTATAATTGTTTTAATATGTTGCTTCCACGTACGTTGTGGGTCTAAGCGGAGTCCTAGGTAGTTAATTTGCTTTGTTTGTGCGTGCCATTCAATAGGATATTTGGTGATTTCCATTTTCGTAGTGTAAATATAGTATGGTTGCATTTACTGGGGGTTGCTTTCATTTGTTTATCTTGCAACCATTTTTCCATTTTTCCGATATGCTCCTGTAGTAATGTGACTGTTGTTTCTGGATCAGTGTGCCTGACTAGCATAGTCAGTATTTTGCTGTAGATATCATCTTTTGCAGAATTTGGTCCCTTTTGGAGATGCAAACTCTGTCCCTGTGCGTTCTTTATCGCGCGCGATAAAACGAAGGCATTTGGCTGAAAACAAGAAATCGTCGTTCTATAGATTCTCCACTGGATCACCGCAGCAATCCCCTTGCTGCATCTAACAACCTGCGACGTATCAGCAGGGTCTCAATTCAAACAGCTACTGTATTTCTTTATTTGTGATGTAGCTTAACAGCAAAGCGATTGCAGAAGTTGAGATTTCACAGAGCGTATGCTATGGCTGTTGCCACGATTTTTCAGGGATTTCCGGTAAAAAAATAAAAAAGAAAAAAAAGAGGATTCAAACAAGGATGGATCAGCTTCTAGCCGGCTATAAATTGCAATATAAAAAATTTCATGTAATTCTAACCATCTTTAAACACATCTGGTGAGCTGCCTGTTCGTTTTCTCAATAGGTAAACCCAACCGTGTTTCTAAAAGAAACACCTCAGTTATCGTAACTGCTTCTGGTTAATTTCGTTTTGCAAAGAGAACAAAAGCGTTAGCGAAGAACACCGTAAATGTTTCTTTCCGACCGAACTCTCCACTACCACCCTGTTGCGTAACATGTTTTAGCGATTTTAGAAATTTGGCAAAAGGCTAGAACAATCCTGGAGGGATAGAATCTTTTCGACAATTAAAGGGAAACGTTAGGAGAACTGTATAAACATAAAGTTGGAGTTAGTTGCAGATTTAGTATAAGTTTAACTTATTCCGCTGTAGATTTCTTTGGGCCTTTTCATTTTTAGCTTTGAACTTTTTTATTTCCCCTATTTTTCTATTCCTCGTTATTTTTTAGATCTTTTTTATCTAGTTCCAACGCGAGTGATTTGGGTGTGTAGTGTGTAGTGTGTAATGTGTAGTGTATACACTGCGTATTGTTGTATCGTGCATATTGTATACTTTGTTTGCAAGAAAACAGAGGCCATGTTCAGCATGTATTGTAATATAAAACGATTGATTTTCCTGTGAACAGTATGGACAATCGCGATGCGTGTGTGAAATTTGTATAAACATTGTTCGCATGTGCTACTATTTAGTAATTATTTATGGAGGCAAAGAATCAGAGGAAACCTTAATCCTCTCTACTCGAAAATTCCATGTCGCGGAGTTATGGAGTTTAATGACTAGGCAGGTATAATGTTTAATCTACGATTTCTCTTAAAAGACGCATAGGATGGTTTACGTTTTTAAACGTCATAATCTTCTTTTCTATGATTTGTACAAGTTATTTTCATCTTACTTTGGTTTCAAGAATCATCCCTTAAATCTTTTTACAATTGTTGTCGATCACCCTGTATAACGAAGTGGTATATGTAAATGATATTGTCAGGAGCTAGGAGAATAAAACAAATCGATTCAGCGTTTCATCGAAAAATACGTAAAAAAATACATTATACATAATTTGAAGGATATCGTAGGACAAATATGCGATATAATTCTTTACCAAGATTGCTTTTCGGATTTAAACATTAGATTCAGCCAGAATCAAACATGCGATAATCACCTATTATACACGTTATAGTACCACGACAGAATAATTTACTTATAATTCCTATGAGAATTGATTGTAAAATTCTTCCAAATAAAAGAAAAAAGATTGCTTTTGCACAGTTTAGCAGGTTTCTCTGCACGGATTGCATTCTTTTCATCTTTTCTATTGGCATCGTGCAGCTGATTATAAAATACGTCCAAATATGTATAATAACGTCACTTTGAAATGATCTTCAGCTTCAAAGACTATAGCTAAATGTGTCTATGTCTATGTCTGTCGAGATTGGCTGCGGCAAAGACCCAGTGAATGTAAATGAACATGTTTGCACTACAGATGACCACTGCTAATCCATCAGTGTATCGATGTACCGTTCCCAGTAAATTACAAAAAACGAGAAAGAATTTGGAAGCCTACAAAATTAGGGCAAATCTAATTTTTTCTTCCGCCTACACGCATTTGGTATAGCATGAAACTTTTTAACTGTGTGGCTATATTTTTATTACACAAAATTACAAAATGGCCAAATGGTACAACATTATCAGACCCCATACCCAGTGGAAACTTGCTCGTTTGCACTCAGCGCCAAATGTAACTAGAACGTAAAAAGTAAGAGATTTTCGTGCGGACTTAAATAAAAATAGATTAGACAAGACGAAAGAGATAAGAGAATGATGGAACAAAAGTATACAAGCATAATATAAGTAGTAGATAGACGCCCATTCAAGTGACAAGCTAAACGATTACTATAGAACAGAATCAAGAAGGCTAAAAAGAAATCGGACGTACTTGTCACAATGGCAAATCAAGGAAGACTTGATAGCTCCAATATCTGTGGCGTATAATTGCACCATAAACCGTTCCAATGAAAGCCTATCAATATACAGTGACTAAATTAACCTCTCAGGTTAAACCTCAGGTTGAATTTTATGCGGAGCTGTTTCTCTGTACGGCAGAGTTTGACGCGAATTACGCGTAAACGATACAGCACTGTAACGTGTGACGGATAATGCTGTTCCCTACACAAGCATATTGCAACGAAGTTTTTGATAATTAAATTATAATTTTTCTTAAAGATATGATACATATACTTTAACTTTAATAATTCACTTTAATAATTAATAATACAATTGAGTGTGATATATTTTAAAACACGGTGCGACACATAGACCCACGTCACAATTGTTTTTCAAATTACTCTTAGTTTTCTATTTTAAAGCGGCATTTTGATGTTGGAGATTCTAAAAAATTGTAAGGATACGGGTTCGCATGTTAAAAAGAGCATCTAATAATGGTATATTTATTTTAACGAAAAGTAACAATTGGTACCTGATACTGGCGTATCAAAATTTTATACACATACTTTTTTAAATAACAAGCGGTAAATTAAATTGTCATTGTAAAAAAGCTGCAATGAGGGTAGTTAAATGGATTTGCCATATGAGTGAGTGAGTTATCGTACGTTATGATTTATTGTACGTGTACATATATCTGAACGAATTTTATCGTATTTTTTCGGCACGATAGAAAATGATATGTAAATGTATGTAAAAAAGCAGCCATAGCTTTGTAAACTTATAAAAATTGTGACTCTGGGAACAAAATTGTCTTGCATGATCCTACGATAAAAATTACCAACAAATTACGAATTAAATATTATATTCTTTGCCTCTTCATAAATTCAAGAGATATCTAAATGACATTACTCAAAAGAGTACCCTATATAGAAAGTCATTAAATATTTATTTATACATATTGTAGTATCGTGGACGAGGGGCCTAGGGGGGGGGGTGTCGTGCGAATTGTAAACGAGCGGTTGCTGAGCGTGTGCATGATGGGACTTAAACAAAAGATATCGAACAAAAGACAAAGGGTTGCTAAGAGACATAAACGAATTAACGGCAATATGAGTTGAGAAGCCAGAGAGTGCGAATTGCGTTGTCGAGATAGTGTTGTTAGCATTGTTGAAGGAGAGTTGAATCTGAGTTGACGAGAGTTGTTAATTAATTATAATACGTTGTTACGATTACTTCATGTTAAATAACCATTGTTTTCTGTTCAATCCATTTATTATTAATAAACTAATTATTATTACTATATTTACGATACTACAATACTATACAGTAGATATCGTTTCGTCTTTCCTACATTTGTTACTGGAGGAATTTTTTCAAGGACAATTCTTACAAAAATACTATTGTCCATCCTGCAATTTTATATTCTGATTTTGCCTTTACCGTTCAGTACAATTGTTCACGATGACAAGATAAATGAGTCGTTCACACCGGTACGTTGTGGCGAACATTTCATGGACACTATTCTCAGATGCTTTTGCTGTTCGCAAGCCGAAGTAAATCCAAGCGTTCGTCATCCGTTTGCTTGCAGAGTGATCTTTTGGCAAACACTTCGATAACTATAAAATAGAGAGGCACGCCGGATATTATAGTGATCGAGATATTATCACACATGTATATGTTTGTAACAATGTTTATAATAGTAAAAGAATTCATTGCGTTTCTTAGTGTGCTAAAGTGCGTTTTTGTAGGTGATTTTTTGCAGTCCTGTCTACTCGATTCATTTAATGCACATATTTTTTATCTGCTATTTAAAAGAGTATGTGTATAACTATCGAACTACAATGTTCGATTTAACACATTAACAAATACAATCAATTCTTCTGCGCTATTATAAACAAACATATACAGAAATACAATATCTCGGACACGTTATATTGTAAGCTGTCGAATATTAATATAGTCACTGTATATTGAATAGGCCTTTATTGGAACGGTTTATGGTGCGATTATACGCCACAGGTATTTTTGAGTAGTACCTTTTCCGTTGATTTCATATCGTTGATTAATTTGTATAGTTAGAATTTTCAGATTTTCGCGCGTAGTTCTCAAACCCTTAACGGTGGATCATAAACTCGAAATCCGAAAAGTCAGTTTTTAACGTGATTCGACGATTGTTTGCGAGAGAGTCGTTTGGGACGCTGTCTCGAGCGGACGTGCGAGGGAAGAGCGAAGTGAAACTTGGACGAAGAACGCGGAAAAAAGAATTCTCCCGTATCTAGTGATATGATTAGTGATAAGTCTAAATTAAGGTTTTAGATTTAGATAATGTGGGAAAAAATAGCGATCATGAGTAGTTAGAAAACAGATAGTGCAGATAAGAAAGCGAGACGGGAGGAACACGCGTTCGTTATATAGAAATGTTTGAAAGTTTAAAAGTGAAAAATGTCGTTGCAGGAAGAAGGAAAGAGTCGAATGAAAAAATAATAGACGAAATAAAGGCGTTAATAAGAAATAAATATGACGTCTTGATCGAAAACCTGCTGAAAGAGCTAAAGGAAGATAGATCTCCTGTGAAAAATGCTGCTGGAGAAGAGAGAATCCGAAAAGACCTCAAGTAGAGGAAAATACAAATTATTGAAGAGACTAAAGAAAACAAAGGAGAAAAAGATAGAAAACAGAAGAAACGAAGTAGGAAGGCGTCAAGAGACAAGTGGAAGTTGGAATAGCGAAAGTACACGACGCGAAAACGGCCGATTAGCAAAGAAATAATGAGAGGATAAGGCAATTGGAGGAGGAAAAAATATCCGGACGAGACACTAAGGAGAAACAAGGAAAAACGAAGTGACGCCATGAAGAATCGAAGAAGCTCCATCGGCTGAGTCACGGAAAATACGCAATAATCGATAGTAAAAAAAAGCTAACCGATAAAGGCAGAGGTAAAGATGATTAGAGAAAGTAATTAAAAAATGCAGGAGATACAGGCAGGGTTAAAGAAAAAGTATTAGACAAAGAAATGAATAAAGAAGACAAAGCAGATCATACGGAGCAAAGCAGAGGATATGCCTAAAATGTACGAAACGAACATTACTCGGAGAAGAATATATAATTACAATAATCTCGAAAAGCGATTACGTTAGTGTAGTACAGTATCGGGGAAAACCTTGGATAATTCAGAAGGTCTACTTGATCATGGGTCATCCACGTCTGTGGAACATGGACGTGCCGAGTATACCGGAGCCATAGTATAAGAGGTAGCTGTTAGGCAGTTGAGGGGTAAGTGTTGTCAGCGTTGTCAAGGACGGTCAGGGTGAAAAAGAGCGTTGGAACCGTTATGACGAGAGTAGTGAGTGACGAATAGTGACTGCGTGGATATAGACTGTCGGAGCATCATACTTGATTTTGTGTTGACGTGAACGATATTGAAACAAATCATACCATTACCAAACCTACTAGCACTATACTTTCCCACAGTAGTATCGTGGAAAAATCATAAGAAAAAACTCGCTAGGAGTACTATTGTACAATGCAGTTAGTTGCGAGTTGTCGATTGTTGTGAGTCGTGAATTGTCACTCAGAAATTGAGTAGTTGTACAAATTTACTTGTTTTACTTGTATTACATTGCTACATTAAGAAATAGCTCTGATTAAATAGCCATAGTTTCTTGTTTCAATCACATAAATCCATCTATTAAAGAAATAAAGTCACTATACTAGTAAAATTATAATGAACATAAATTCCACCCCGAAAGGAGTGAACATGATTGGTTTTCCCAAGACGGAAATTAGATACAAACGAAGAGAGGAAAACAACGGGGCAATGACAGCAGGAAGAAAAGGAAATAGGAACTTTATAACAGATATCTCTAATAGGAAAAGATTTCCTATTAGAGTGATTCGTGAATTGGATCGATCAGCGAGTTAGAGGAACAGCAATCGTTCAACCAGGAAAATTTATAACGAAATGACTTAAGAAAAAAAGAGTGAAAGATGAGAAAGCGGTCTTGGAAGATTCGAGGGCCATCCTGGTTCGGTTTCAGAGACACGCACATCCAAATCGATTACTGATTAGACACGGAAACATATGACTCAAGGTGGAACCGTTTATAGAGACAGCGAAATGATACTACACTGCTTGGGGTTTGATCGAATATAAGCGAATAAATTATTTATTTTTATTAATTATTAATTGTTCAGAAACTAATTAGCTTATTTTATCAAATAAATACATCAACGGCAAGGAGGTGTTTTATCTGTGCAAATAAGTTCCATGGAAATTTTTAGTAAAACTGCCGTTTTTTTACTTGGTAAGATATATAACATGTATAATGAAGTATTTTTATATTAACCCCTTAACCTACAACTACGGGTATAGCCCGTAGTACGATGATCGGGCCAAACGTAAAAGTTACGGGCATAGCCCGTTGTACGATGATCTTGTTTACGTTTTCGACCCAAAATTCTCGAACGTAAATCATAGGTTAAGGGGTTAAATATAATTAAGAATATTAGTTATCACTAATATCAGTAACAACTGATGATAGTCGAGCATAACCAGAAAAAATTGTCGCCATCGATAACCGAATAACCAATTTCATTGTCGGTAATCAAAATAAAATTCTAGTCATGGGTAATGATTACTGGTAGGCAAAAGAAATTTTATTCAGTCATTCATATTGGTTATTTATAATAAGGTCGCTTAAAAATTAATATCTTTTAAATACTTTATTTTTTGAAAAATTTCTTTGACGAAATTTATTGATAACTCATTGCTATTTAAATAAAAATTAATTTTTATTCATGACCTTTTCCTAAATAATGCATAAAAGAACTATTATTTTGAATAAAACAATTTTTTAATTTTTCGCTGTAATTTTATATATATTAATTTTTTAATAACTTTATTTTATATTATATTCTTATAAGAAGGCATTCTTTTGCTGCAAAAGTAGTAAATCAAGAAAATATTGTAACAAATTATTTTATATTAATACCCTCTATAAGTAGATAACATAAAAACTATCTTTTCGAGATACCACACGAACATAACTCACCATATTACCTTACATGAAATAGTACAACTCAAAGTAATATAAATTTCAGAAAATTATACTACTCGATCAATTTAAATTAAATTCGTTATCAGTTTTAGTACAAATAATTCTAAAATCCAATGTCTGGTTAAACTGAACAAATCGATAAGTTTTACCACATCAGCTTGATTTTAAAAAGCTTTCCAATTTTAAATGTATTAAAAATTGGCGAGAAATAATAATTTGTATGTATTACGTTCATTTTAAAAAACGGATATTGCCAGAATTCTGCACATAAATTTTTAATATGTAATACCAACATACATACAATGCATATTTCCTACATGGTAGAAAATAAAAATCATGTACTGCTAGGCTTAAAATGCGAAATCAAAATTAAATTAGTAATCACCGATTAAAGGTACAGCAGCGTTTCGTACTATCGACGTTACTGAAAAGTACAGTAAAATTTGGAGCTGCAACGAGCACTCGTGTATGAGCAATCAAGCGTAAAATGCAATTAAGAGATAACGATGCATATAGACCTTTATAACGAGACTTTTTTCAAAAGATTCAAAAGATTGACAAGCGAATAAATGAATAGTTGAAGTAATGGGTTGTTGACTGATGTTACCTTCCAAAGTTTCAAGAGCTACTCCATTATTCAATGCCAAATCTTAATCAGTCCACGCTACCCTCAATTTTCAATGATTAATTCGAATCAGTCCATTATATTCTTAATTCGTTCCTGTGAAAGAAGTTATCGTCAATCAGAATCAATGGTGGTTTTGACAGTTTTTTTTCTTTCTTAATGGTTGCAGTAATAAAGAAGGGTGGTAGGGAATGATCAATTTTTGTGTAACTCAGGCACCCAAAATATTTATAAGACATCATGCTACAGGTTCCAACAAATTGTTAAAGCACAATCTTTTATCGGTAATATGATGGGGAAGTTGTAAAAAAGACAGTTGAAGTATGAAGTGATCAAAGCAAAAATTTGATAATCCTTAAATTCAAACGATCGTAACTTTGTAACAAATGGGATGAAACTTAAAAGTTCAAATGCTATTTGTAGATAAAAGTTGATGTTTATATTGTACGACAAAAATAATTAACACAAATATTTTTGAACATTTCTAGAAAGCAGTAAACTATGATAACAAATAGCGGTGCATCTATTCGAAGAAATATGTTTGTAATTGTAGTGTGACCTACCTAGTAAAGCAAAATATAATATTTTACACATAACGAAGAGGTGTTACATTGTGTTTTTTTTTATATGACAGTGTACTACTATTTCCTACCATCCTCCTTTGATCGACCCAGATCGTTCGTTTCTCGAAACAAATATTTATGTAAACTATGTATATCTATGATGAAAACTTTTTACAACTTTTTTACAAATTTAACGGAAATTTGTGGGATTGCAGAATGACGAGAGGAAACACAGTACATACAGTATCCTAGTTTATAAAACAAACGTGTGCTTTAAAATGAGTAAAAATAATATTTCCATATTTGAAGTAAGTTTAACATACGTATAGGTACGTATTAGACATTCTTCATCTATGTACATAAAGACTGTTTGGTGGACTTGGATATTACCATTATTTTTAATAATGATAGTAAACAATAATAAAAGTTATATATAATTATAAAAAAATAATAGATCCTTTGTAGTAAAGGCGTAGGCGAAAATATTTGTTAATAAAATTGTAAATTTTTGAGTTAATAAGAGTGATCACCTGAAGTAACTCGTTAGATTCGAATGTATTTGAGAAACTTGATCATCAGACGACTAAAAGTTGGTTTTTTAATTCCTTGACTAAAAGTTGGTTTTTTAATTGACGACTAAAAGTTGGTTTTTTAATTCCTTATATTTTTTGAGATATTAAGGTGACATTAGGTTTTTCAAATGGTATCGTATATGTATTTTCAACAGTAGTTGACCCTGTTGGACGTTCTTTACAAAAAGGTATTAATATATTTATACTGAAAAACCATTAGTTTACCAGATATTTCAATGTCTCAAATTTAACACATACGAGACAGATGACATAGCAAATGTATATACAATATCTGGCCGCAATGACCGACGACAACACATGTATGTCATCACTATTTTCAGTCAATTCCCAAACAACAGTTTCAAGAATATTATAATATTAATATGAAATATTCAAGATTTATGTCACTTTAAACAATTCTTTTTTAAGAATTCGGGTATGTATAAATACCCGATTCCTTACTTCGAAGTAAAGTAAGGTGGAATGGAAGTATATTTAGATAAAATCTAACACAGGATTTCGAAGTTTACACATAGCTATACATTTCACAAAAAACACCTTCAAAAATTGAATATGCGGATGAATGTTAAGTGTACACGGAACGGTGTGGTTCTGCTGTGCGCCTTGTGTGGAGAGCTGAGTGCAAAAGACGAAGAGATGAAAACTTGAGATTGGCGTGTCTAGAACACGGGGCAAGCGGATTTGTCAAGTATTCTCATCTTTGGTTACGGGTGCTTTCCTGAGCGTAAATTTAGCGCTATACAGTACCTGGGCACCCCTAGGGCTATAGGAGTTAGGGTTACGCCCAACTAGCGCACAAGGCACCCATTACCTTGCTACCTGGATTAGCTAAGCCTGGCAGGGGCTGTCGCTCGTCTCAGGTCGAACGGGGCGTTTTCTAAGCCCTCCCGTCTCTCCAGGACGGTTCCGGAGCAGGTGGGACGCTGCTCACCCGCCGAAGGCCATTCGGAGGAGCCAATACCCCTTAAATCGGCCCAGGGGCTAGCCATTACCCTTTAAATCGGCCCTCTTGCCAGCATCTTGGCCATCAACCACTGCCACCATGAGTCCAAATCCATAATTGGCCGAGCAGAGGGGTCGCTACTCCCTCCGGGCTTACACTCGACCCCCGTGGTACCATCCTAAGTCATTGGTGGGACTATCGTGTGGGTGTACGGCCACGTCACTACCGGCCGGCGACCTGCTAACCTGGACTCACGTAAGCGGGGGTCTCAAGGTACAAAGTACCCAGAAAATTATCCCGACGGTCCCATCATTGGCATCAGGATCGTGGGTGCGCTACTACGCAAGGCCACGTAGAGAGAGTGTAACCGTACTTAAACGCCTTACACTCTCGACGACCCTCCCTGCGGTGTACATAGAGGACTCACGTAAGCGGGATGCTTGTCCCGACGGTCCTCCCTGGCTGCGGGAACGTGGGTTTGCCAGCCCCCATAGACTTACATAAGCAAGTCCTCTTTGCGGGAAACCGGATTTGTCGGTCAGAATTTTCGATGAAGAACCAAGCGATCATCGTTGCTAATTTGTAGAAAAAGCTGGTAAACAAAATGAGAACTGATCGTCGCCAAACTGTAGGTCACTCGCAGGTACGAAAAGTACCCTCAAAATAAGGGAAAAATAAGGGACTCGATGGCAAATACTAAACCTCATGGCAGATAGATGGAATCAGTGGAAATAACGGCTAGTTTTCGACACGTAGTAACGGCTGCCTGGAGATTGTTGCTGGTCTTAATATTTGGCTTAAATTAATATTTATTTTATGTCCTTACCGAAATTATTCGGCAAATCTAAACATTTACCACGGACAGCGACCCGCGGTAAATATTACAAGTTTCATGTAGAGACGTAACTATCGCGTTTTCATTTGTTCTGACGTTGACTGACAACTCGATGAACGAGGTTTTTATTTGAGCAACAAGTTTGCACACGCATGCACGTATTACAAGTCCTTTCGTTTCAACTTACACGTTATCGCTGCTCTCTTCTGCTAATATTGAAACAAAATGAGTATAAAGGAAAGATTCTATGAATTACTGTTCGAGACAGTGCAGATTGAAAAGTAACCACGATAACAGGTCTTGACACATATACACCGAAGCATAGAGAAAACCGTTCGAAAATTGAGTCGTCGAAAATCAACATGGAGGACAAAAAGCTTCTTGTTCTGCGCGTGTGTGACGTGCTATGAATGTCTCAGGCAGAAACAACGAGACTTTATTCATCTCTGTCTGTCTCGCAGAACGACAACCTTCTCATCTTTCATGTTGCCCTTCCACTATTTAGCATTCGGACAATTATACCTAGCCAGTACTAAAATCTGAAATTATACGATCGTAGTCCAAAACAATACATTGTTTTTTAAATTTGCTCACGCGTGAAATTGGCTTCCAGTAGATTCTTTCGAGCGGGCAAGCAACACGTACGTAAGTATACATATGTCGCGTTAATATTGCGCACATATGGGTAAAAATAATATATGAGATTTTTAAAAAATTAATACCTCTCGAATGAGAACACCTTTATTAAAAATCACTATACGTTTTAAAAGTAAAATATGTCTTTTCTTGAAACTTACCGAAAAATACAGTTGGAAAATATTCAGTTTCTTCATAACGAAATAAAAATGGTAAAGATGATAAAAAAGCACAAATTAAAAAAGTGGCTTCCTAATATGAAATCCGTATGTCTGTTCGTTTTTTTTCTTTCTTCTTCACACATTGGGCATACAAAATCTACTTTGCAATTTTGGTGGGCTTTATTACGTGCATCTGAAGAGTAGAAACCTGTGCAAATAAAGCATTCTGCATCATAATATTCTTCATAATCACTTTAATCATAATCAGAAAAGAATTTTCCTTCACATTCATCAGTCGTGTTCTTTCTACGCGTCCTCTTTTAGTGAACTTTTTGAAATAATCTTTTGTTTTGGACCATCTCTTTCCCGCAGTTCCTTCTGTGATTGACGAAGGCTATTACAAATAAACAATTCAAGGAGCATTTGCTGTATATCCGATCTCAGCAAACCAAAATATCTACTATTCATATCAAGACAGCTAGTGTTGGTGAGCTTACATAACGTTCGGGAATTTATGGGCATAACAAAATCTATAACCCACAGCATGTTCTCTAGCCGCTTAAAACCGCTAATACAACACGCTCACGCCGGCGTGCACCACCGGTGGCTCACATTTGAGTATTCCATCGGACGATGCGTACCACCAAAAGTTTAGTTGGTTTAGTAACTAGAAAAAATTGCTATATAGTTGAAAATTTAAATCATGGAAATTTAACGTATATTAATTGAAAACAAGTAGGATTTATTTAAAAAATAATTCAATAATATAAACTTATTATAAACATGAATACAAGCGCCGCGTCACGGCGAGAAACACAAATGGCAGCGCCGGTGTGAACGTGTTCAAACAAAATTGGATATAATATTACATCATAATGTTATAATTGTCACATAATGGAAACTTTCAAGTGTCCTATATTCGAAAACAATAACATGATGGCTATTAAATAGCTTCAAGCTTAAGACTTCATTATTTAATAATTAAAAAAGCAGTAAATCTTGAACCTGCATGCACTATACGGCAGTATTTATGAAAATGATTATTCACTTAGCATCTTGAAACTATTTGTAACTTTATTGAATCTCCTGAAGAAAATTTTCTACAACGCATTGCACAATATACTCTACCAAGACACTTAATTGATTTAAACGACTATGTACGGAGCAAACAACTGGTAAATGGATTATTACGCGCAAAACAGCTTCGCTACAGGACATTCGAGAGTTCTGTACCAAAGATAGCTAGGATCTTATATTAGAGAACCGTATTAGAGAACCTTTACACTCGTTTTATTGCAATAATACATGCGATTTCATGTCTCTACATAAAACTTCTGATATTAGCTGCAGCTTAGCAGAAAACGTTAAGATTTGCCAATTCATTTCACTAAAAGTACGAAAGAGATATTGATTTCATAGCATTTTGGATTTATATCGATATTGGTTGGTAAATCATAAGATTTACCGGGTAAACCTGACGTCAAAAAACGCGTTTTTCGTGTTATCACTATGAAAATGTTGCAGACACACTCCTCGACAAATTATAGAAATATTATTTATTTGTCTTCACAATTTGGCCGAAAGGGGCTAATTACGTCACTTTTTCTCGTTTATGTGGCACTGTACTGTATCATGCAAATATGCCCTATGACTAGTTATGTGCTGACTAGAAGAGTGATTTTCCAGGGTTAAGAAATAAAGACGTGAGAACTTGAGCCTGTTTTATGAGCATTATTCATCTTGTTCATATATTTCATTTAATTACGTTCAAAAGCCGCTTTTCGCTTCTTGCGCAAAACATACTTCTTCGAATTGCGTTACTTTCCAGGCAGTGGTGCGACGTAAAATAAAATAGCGAGTTCTAAACATGAAGGTATTTCTCCTCTACTCTATTTATTTAAAACTCGCGGTTACTGTGATATTCGAATTCCTTGTTATGTTATATTCGATACTTGTAAAGTGGTAAAAAATTAGATAACAAATAGAACGCTTTGTGAATCTGCATTATTAAATTTTCACTGTGGTTTTATGGTCATAAGACCTTCATTCAGTGATTTTAACATTATCGTTATCAAATCTTGGGTCGAAAAGTAAGTAAGCAACAAGATATACTGCGATGGTGATTCAGCTTTGATCGGGATTCAGCTTTGTACGGATTATACATATAAATATACATACGTATATTATTGTTAATACTTTTATATCCAGAATTCGTGGTTCCATCGGATTCGACTATAAAAAGTAAAAGTTTTATTAGAAGAAAGAAGAAATAAGATTACTTTTTAAGATTTGATTTATATTTCTATAATTATTACGATTTAACTACTAATTTTATTACAATTAGATTTGTAATGATGATTTTTCATATACAGAGTGAAACATGTAACTGGAACCACTTTGGTTACTGTGTAATGATTTTAGTGAAAATGTTTTAGGTGAAAGTTAAATAGGTTGCAAACGGTGGCGGGGCAGCCCGTTAAGGTCCCAAACGGAAGATGATGCGCCGCGAGTTCGAATCCTCGCTCTGGATATATTTGCAAAGGATGGAAAACCAAAATCTCCCTTAAAAGTAATATACAACAAGCAAGCAGGTCCCTTTGCATGTTGCGGTTGTACTTTCTGCGAGTGCTTGGTAAGCATACCAGGGCCGATGATATTACTCGCACTGGTCTACCGTCTCGCCCGTGGAGGTTTTAACCGGTAAGAATCCGGCACTACCTTGGCTGCCCTGTTCCCTGTTTGCAGGGCGTGAGGTCAGGTGCCTATAAAGATTTCCTCCACATAAAAAAAAAGACTTTTTTGCTAAGAAGGCTACGTGGGATGACCGCCATCAGAATCGTAAGGGGATACCGGACGATATCGTATGCGTCGGCGTCCTGGCGGTGTCTCCTGCGTTCGAGCTCCAGGTCTTGGCGCTCCGACGGGTGTATGAAAA